TTTTTTCTTCATATTTTTGTTCCACCGCTTTTGAAAAAGCAGTCTTATTCATCTGTCAGTTTGTCAGTCAATCCTTCCGTCAGTCTGTCTGTCTATCACAAACACATGTTATCCTAACTTTTGAAAATTTTTATCTTACTTTTCATTGTTGTTTTCTCAGAAAAAAGGGCTCCCATACATTTTTTGCATTAGCAAGGATCTACACTAATTCAAAAATAAAATTAACATGCTTCTTGTAAATTCAACCGACTATTCTGATTTTTTGAAGGCGCTAGGTTGTCAGATAGACAACTATCGACCAATTGTTTATGTCAGAGCTATATATGAATGATAACGTTCCCTCTCTTTTTCTAAATATCACATGATCAAACCCCCTTTCATCTTTGTTCTAAATATGCCATATCCCTTCTTCTCTTCTAAATATCACACCCCTTCTCATTTGCCGTTTTAAATATCACATCCCCTATCCTCTCTTCTCTTCTAAATATTACACCCCTCTCCTTCCCCCTTCTAATATCACACCCCCTCTCATCTATCCTTCTAAATATCATATCCCCTCTTCTCTTCTAAATATCTCTCCTCCCCCTTCAAAATATCACATCCCCTCTCATTTTCCCTTCAAAATATCTCATCCCCTTTCATCTTTTCTTCTAAATATCACATCCCCTTTCCCCTTTCTTTCTAGATATCACATCCACAGCTCATTTTTCCTTCTAAATATCACATCCCCTTCCCCCTTTTCTTCTAATTATATCATCCCCTTTCATCTTTCCTTCTAAATATCACACCCCTTTTCCCTTTTCCTTCTAAATATCACATCCACCGCTCATCTTCCCTTCTAAATATCACATCCCCCTTATCTCATTCCCTTTCCTCTTCCCTTCTAAATATCACATCACCTTTCCTTCCCCCTACAATATATCGCACCCCTTTCCTTTTTCCTATTAAATATCACAGCGTCTTTCCTCTTTCTATCGAAATATCACATTCTCTTTCCACTTCCCCTCATAATTTTACCTCCTCCTTTTCTCTTCCCTTCTTAATATTACATCCCCTCTCCACTTCCCGTTTAAACTATCACATCCCCTCTCCACTTCCCATTTAAACTATCACATCCCCTCTCCACTTTCCATTTAAACTATCACATCCCCTCTCCTGTTCCCTTTTAAACTATCACATCCCCTCTCCTGTTCCCTTTTAAACCATCACATCCCCTCTCCTCTTCCCTTCTTAATATCACATCCCCTCTCCACTTCCCGTTTAAACTATCACATCCCCTCTCCTCTTCCCTTCTTAATATCATTTCCCCTCTCCTCTTCCCTTCTTAATATCACATCCCCTTTCCTCTTTGCTTTTAAACTATCACATCCAGTCTCCTCTTCCCTTTTAAGCTATTACATCCCCTCTCCTCTTCCCTTCTTAATATCACATCCCCTCTCCTCTTCGCTTTTAAACTATCACATCCACTCTCCTCTTCCCTTTTAAACTATCACATTCCCTCTCCGCTTCCTTTTTAAACTATCACATCTACTCTTCTCTTCCCTTTTAAACTATCACATCTCCCCTCCTCTTCGCTTTAAAACTATCACATACCCTCTCCCCTCCCCTTTAAATTCAAAATATGAGTAGCTAGTCTGTCGTATTGCTTCAAATAAAGTCTCTCTTCGTTCTAGAGTCGCAGAATAAAGCACTTTAAAGCAGATTCTTACATCGAGGGTTCAAATACTGGTTCCATTCCGGAGAAGACCACGTCACTTGACCGAGTACAAAAATTGCAGTCCTCCAACAGCATGTAGTGGGTGGAGATATATCCTGGGAGAGAAACAAAGACACCAATCAGATGGAATTCTTCGATTGGGAGACAAATCGTCAACTTTTGTGCAAGATTAAGAAGCCATCTGTTCAATTCAGCTTTTACATTTTTAAAAAAAATACTTTAATGTTAAAAAGTACTAATATTCAATGCAATGCTGCACTGTGAACTGTTTTGCATCTACATATGAAATTCACGTAATTTTCATCCGAAGATGCACAAGCCACGCCCCCTCAATCTGCCTCTTCAGTTGAAAGGATTTCCATGCAGTTCCTGGATCCCTTTAATTTCATACATGCAATACTTATTTCAGATAGTTTTTATCGATCATTGGCCTTGACTTTTGAGATATAACCTTATTTCAGGATTATGCCATTCATAGGTACAGTCGTGTACCTGTATAGATTATGAGCAAAACTTTAAACTAAGTTTGAAACTGTTTTTAAATATGACCTGGACACGATCTATGACAGACAGACAGACAATTATGCAAAAATAAAAAAGCAATGATAATACTTTATTTATTTACAACTCATATCATTTCCTCTGCAATAATCATAAGAAGAGGGTTATGGGGGCCGACTGGGGTTTCCATTGCGCAATATGCATAAATGTATATTTAATTCAGGCGGCAAAGTGAAGTAAGTGAATTGCTTTTATTTTGATATAATTTATGTATGAACTATAGCAGAATTAAGAGTATCACAGTAAAATATAAATTTAGTTTTAACATTATGATAAAGTAAAAGTTCCTCTTAAGAAGGGACCAATAAAAGTGTTATAAAAAGGGTGAAATATATATTGAAATTAAATACACTTAAAAAAAAACTTTCAATATATCTTACTAATTTGGGGTATTTCAAAATATTATAGGTATTTTTTCGATACTACATTTAAATAAAAAAAGGTAAATGTTTGCATTTTGAAATGGCCAATCTAGACACCACACGATATAATTTTGTCCATACATGGCCGTAGGAACCGGGGCACGGGGTGGGGTGGCCGGTTGGGGGTGCCCCAATCAATTTTGCTGACATATAGTATACTAAAGAAAACAAGTGTAGCTACTATGTGCTCGTGCCCCCTAAATAAAAGGGACATTTTTTTTTGTTTTATATGACTGCCCCCCCCCCCCCGAAATTGCTTCCTACGGGCCCGCCATGTGTACTCATCATGGGGGGATACATGATTTTGATTAAGGGGGGGGGGCGTGGATAACTTTGTTGAGGCAAGGGGTCTGGGGGCCGCCTTGAGGCCCCCAGTGGATCCAGGTGGGGGCCAAGGGGGCAAGGCCCCCGGAAGCTCCTGGATTTTTGTGTATTTTAAGAGTAAAACCAGGCACAATAATATTGCATATTTTTCAATTATTTTTGTTAAAAGTGACATATAGGTCCGGGTGTTTGAATATTAATTGCATTGAATGTTTCTCATTGTATTGTATTAAAACATATGCCACTATAATAAACGATTTACTTACTTACCAATAGTGGTATTGGTTAGTTATATACCAAGTACGGCATTATTGTCTGACATACTTGTCATATCATACTTTGAACGGTGGGGTCCCAGGGGGCGAAGCCCCAGGAAGCTCCTGGGTTTTCGTGTATTTGAAAGAGTAAAACCAGGCACAATAACAGTGGTTTTGGTTAATTATGTACCAAAATGTGGCATTATTAACATTAGTCATATCATACTTTGAAAATTTTAGCCCCCCCCCCCTTAAATACGCCAGTGCTCATCACGAATTACAATTTGATGAAATAAATCGTCTTGAAATATTTGCATGTAATACACTGCAGTCACAGTTGGCAACAGTTGATATAAAAGTTAAAAATTACATGTATGTTGATTTTAATTTTCACAATAATCAACGCAGTCAACCCAATTAAGGCAGTAAATTCCATTAATTGTATCCTTCCATTACATGTATTAAATAATACTTTCTAAAAACAAGCGAAAAATGTTCACCTGCAATCCCTGCATATTGCATTGAAAACTCAAACCCAGGTTGAAAGGGGGGGGCTACTAGATATGTGCATCATATGTTTTAAATTATTTCATTTTGCAGAGTTTAAATATTTTCATGTAGATAACTGATTTATTAATAACTCTGAGATAATGCTCTCTTCATACGTTGTTTTGGAGTGTAGTAGGGTAGATTATAACTCACTAAATTCAGCTGGTCCATTTCCTCTCAAATATGGTCATTTCCAGGTTTCTACATCAATCAAACGCCGGCTACGACTATGGACGTCATCACCAAAAAACAGTAAATGATTTAAAATAAAATACAGCCTACATATATCCCATGCAGTGATTCTATTCATTAAAAAAATGTTACCCCCCATTCTTTGGTGTAGTCTAATGGAATTTTATAATAATCGAAAAACTCAAGCATACTATTTTGACAAAAAGGTGTGATGTAAGTACCAGGTAAACTTGTTACGATTTAGGTCATAAATTCCCACAGTAGTTTGGTATGAGATATAATGAAGTTCTTATCAACTGAGCAAGGGGTGGGTAGATGACGTACGTAAGAACTGAAGGGAATTGACTTCATATATATAACATCCGGTCTGTGTTTATTGATATTATCAATTCTCTTTTATCCTTATATTTACTTAAAAAAACGTATAATATCTTGACTGGCAAGAATTTAAAAAAATGTATTGGCAAGTTGCATGCGACAAGACCATCATGAAGGGGGGAGGGTAGCAGATATCAAATTAAAAACTTTTAAAATTATGAAAATTATTTTAATGATCGGAATCCTTTTTTATGCATTCTTATTTGCTTATATTGTTAAATATGTCGTTCTCAGTTTATTATGAATGTTTCGAGTCTAGTCAACTTCTAATTAACGATTTACAAAGTGGGCGTGTCTCCATCGTTGAATGTGACGTCATAAGCACTTCCCACAAAGAAGAAATCAGAATTTGATTCATAAATATTAAAATGATTGACAGCTTCAATTTCATTGGTCAGACAGCCCTTCACATAATTTACATAAGAAATATCAATGTAAATCTTGTAACATCAAATACTTTAAAACTAAAATAGTAAAATATTTCTCTGTATCTAAATATTCACAAACATGCAGTGATAATTGCAGAAAATTAGTGTAAATATGCACTCTCCATCATGTAAGATATTTATTTCGTAAAGTAGTTCCACTTTCCTTCAACTATCTTTACTTCGCCGAGTCGCCATTTTGCATTTCAGCAGCAGCATTGTGAAAAAATAATCGCATGGGATTGATAATTATTATTTCTATTGTGAAAGCTTTCAACATTCGATTTATAACATTTTTGGAGAGAATCTGAGTTACTTTACACCGTTTTAAGAGTGCAAACAAATTATAATTTGGATACTATATTCTTGCGCGCAATGGTGAGGGAGTAATTAAGCGATGTGCATTTCCTGTCTGATAACGAAGAGTTCGGCTTAATTCAGGAAAATGTAGAGGATATATATTAAAATGGACATTTTAACATGACGGAGGTGTCGGTCCAAAAGTAAGTATACAATTTTTCCGCGTTCTGAGGCCATAAATATTTTATTTCGTGTCTCTGTGGCCTTAAAAATGTGCTGTATGTGACTATGGAAGATGGAGCCTGGGTTACTGATGAAACTGAACGAATTTGGACAAAATTTTGCAAATCTGATTGATCAAGGAGTATTTTAACAATATTTAAAGTCCATGTGATTATTTGATGGACAAATAACGCTGACATATCTTTTCAGTAGATTGGGTCACCTATTATAATGCCACTAGCTTCATTCATAAATAGGTATGAATGGTGTAAAACGTCACGTCCTGTTTAGTATTTCACGGCTTCATTGTGGTTTTAGTGACTGATACGGTTACATTTACCCACCAAATTTCCCTGCTGATCGCTACATGTAATTTTATGACCGATTTACCTCGGAACTACTTCTAGAATTTCACAATATGACACTTTGTCTTGTGTATTACACATGCATGTGTGCATTATTTCAATATCTTTTTAATGCAACATGTTCACCATAAAGTAAATATTCAATAACACCATACATGTGATGTTATCAATATTTAATCTTAAACATTGTAATTTGGGATTTGTTTAGCCCTTTGCTTAAACACTGGGTTAGACGCCAACTATTGAAATGACCTTGACACTAGAAAAGGATTGGTTTAGAGAGATCTGACTGGTGAAAAGTAATTTTCATAATCAGGAACAGTCCTTCAGAATCAGATAGAATAGCCTCCTGTTAACATTTAGTATTTTACTCAATGAACGACTGTCATGTTTTAAGAGTAAACTGTATTGTTTAGAAACGCTTTCTCGCTCTTATGAATAATAAATTTTTCACTAGGAATACACAGAAGGTTGATACAAGCAAAAAAAAAAAAAAATGGTAAAAATTTATAAATCATTAACCTGAATGACTTTGATTTTCAAATATTTATTGCATATATAGTGTTTGATAAAATGATGCACATATTACGTAGAAATAATCATTAATGATAAAGTGTCATGCCCATTTTCAAATAGGATAATTTTGTAATCCCTTCACGTATGAGTATGACACTCGACTTTATAAATTGATTGAGAGTATTTTTGGATATTTTACTTGACATACCTTATTCAGGATGTTCAGAGCCCCAAGTCATATTTGTCATTTAAAGCATATTTGAATTATACATTGCATGTTATGATGTGATATACAAGCAGGTCTTATTAAATAGGTAAACTTGTATGTATTACATAGATATGGTCTGGTCAACTTTATAGTTGGTGTGCGACAGTTTTGAAATTGACCAAGTCAAATATGCAGTGCTAGTAAATATTTATACCAAAAGGTTATTATATAATACTAAAATGACTAGATGAATCCAACCCAAAAAGCTGGGACTAAACATTCTATCAAAATATTGACACACACAAAAGACAAAGTCTTTATTAAATAGGGTTTCAAAAGTTACCTCATTGAAATTCTTGATTTTAAGAAGGAAACTTGCAAGTTTCGTCAAGGCTAATGATTTTATCGTCAGGGCTAGTAAAAATTATGGGCTTGTCCATATTTTGAAATCACTATCATACATTTAGTCTGACAAAGTCAAATGTTCTGTCAGATTGGACAAAGTTTTGTCGGACCAGATACATGTACCTTATTTTGATGCTATTATTAAGAAAATAAATAACTTACCAAATTGCACGTTATGATTTTCAATAAGCATTCAATCTCACAAGTTTCTATTCTTAGGAGTAGAAAGTCTTTAATCAAAGGCATAAATGACATCATGTTTTATGTCAATTGAATCAACAAACAGCACCATGCAGCCATCTCTGCTGTCCTCATGACCTCCCACTGCGCACCACGATCCTGATCTTTTAAAAATGTGTATCTTACTTGTTTTTTTAAAATGGTTACTGTAAACCAACTTTTATTCGCGTGTGAGTAATTTTCGCGAAATTCGCGAGAGCCTCATCATCTTAAAGTCTATATGTCTATTATCAAGAGAACCTAAATAAGCTTGATCGCGAAAATTTATAGTCACGGATTAGTTTCCCCCTGATAAATTGCGAAATAAAGTTGTAGCGAATAAAAGTTGGTTTACAGTACTGTACAAGTTCTTTTTTTCCGTGTGGTATTAATTTACAGTCACAATTTCTCCGCGGAAATTTGTCCCATCATACTCAAAATATGTGTAAGGAATATAGTGAGAGATCAAGAAATCCATGTAATTTTCTACCCGCGGACTAAGGAGAAATAGAGATTCTGTGGAATTATGACCCCGTGGAAAATAGTACTTCTACAGTATTTAGACCGACATTTACTTGGTCCAGACAAATTTTTACCAGCCTTGCCAACAGGACCAATGGATTTCCACAAGTCTGGAATCAAGTAACTTTACTGGTTTAGTATTGTTAAAAAAAAAAAAAAATGTTAAATCCTGCCTCATGACTATTTTGACTGGATTTTGAACCCATTGTAAGAAATTTTGAGAGACCTGGTTGAGTAAAGTTGGCCAGCCCGTGGAATGACAAGTGATTTGAATTTTACTCCCAAAATTGAAATTTAACTTGCATATTCCAGGTTAATTATTCGTAGCTTTGAGCCCTGATATAAAGTGAGCATCTACATGAACAGCTTCAAATTCTTTCAGCTCCTTCTTCTCTTCAGAATTAATATTAATTATTTTATTTTTATTTAGCATGTTTAGACCTAATAAAATAAACTCCATTGCGATTGACTGACTTTTATGAATATCATTTGGCCAAATAGAAATAAAACTAGATGAGATCTCGTTGCGAGCAACGAGTAGGTCTTCCGTCCGATTTTTTGATAAGATATGATTTTGACTATGATCTTTGTTAGATCATAATGATATCAAGACGTCTCTCCTTTGAATAAATTCTTTTACTTTCTAAAAAATTATTTTAAAAATGTAGTAATGGATGAAAGTCTTTTGGCCCCTAAGGGCCCCTTATTTGAGGGGTCAGACCCTTTCTTCCTATCCAATGATAAATTTTTTAATTTAATGATTTTTTTGTTCAACAACTATCCAGACATTTCTTTACGAGGATAGACAAATTTAGCGGCCAGCCCTTTATATCCTTAATGGGATATTTTTGCATACATAGAATGGTTGTATAATGTTTAAAAGACGACTCTGAGTATCCTTTATTCGATACCGCTAATCAAAATATTTTCCCTTTTAGAGATATAAAGAATCCAAGATTGAGCATTTTGGCCCCTAAGGGCCCCTAATTACATAACATATTATCCAAATTTTACAATGCATTGATGCAGATTGTTAGGATAAACATTTTTGCTTCAGTTATTTATAACAAAAAATTGATGAAAGTTATAAATGGAAGTCTTTTGGCCCCTCTTTGCCCTTCATTTGAGGGGTAACACCCGTTTTCTTTATATCAAATTAAAGAAAATATAATTCTGCACAACTTTTGTTATATATCTCTTAACAAATTATTGACAGGTATAAAGATATCAGAGAAAACGTGTTAAATTTTGGGAGAGATTTCTGAGCCTATTTTTCAGCTCAGGCGAGCTTCATGGCCTTTTGTGTTGGAAAGATATAGACTCAAAAAAGCAATTTAGCAATCCTTCCTCTACCTTGACTGAAAATCTCAAGGCAATATCTTCATTCGTTTTCAAGTGATTGCCCGGACAAGCTGACCCTCTAAAAATTGGTAAATCGTCCATATCTTATGACTGGAAGTGACGTCGTACGTATAAAAAATTTCCAATAAGGTTCAGACCAATATCTATCAGATCTGAAAGTTTCGTGAAAATCGGGCGAGTCTTTTCCGAGATCTCGCGTGCACAAAAATCGGTAAGAAAAAAAAAGAATAATAGGGAAAAAGAAACCGAACGAAAACAATAAGGTCTTCCGTTGGAAACGGAAGACCTTAAAAATATAACGAATGAATTGGTTCTAATTTTTAATAAAAAGCAGGTGGAGAACTGAAGCTAATTTTTTTTTCATATGCAAGAAGCATGCATTATTGACAATTGTTAAAGTACCGGTATGTCAAGTAAGTAAAATGTCAAGTAATAATCTCAATTCATTTTATAATGTTGGGTTCCATTTGAGCAATCGTCTATTTGTTCAGAAAAGAACTTTTGTTTATTGCACAGGCACTTATGGACAATGCATTGAAAAAATACTTAGGTAAAGGCAACAGGAGTGCTTAATAAAAAATATAAAAATGTACCAAAATGTACATTTAATACCTAGTATAATTACACCTGAGAGAATTCATTTCATTGGACAAAAACTCTCTCAGACGTCATTGTACATGTAATAAGTAATACATTCTTGGTGTACTTTTGTTGCATTTACCTAAAGAGTTTACAATGCACTGGCTGTAATTGTATTTGAAGAATAATTGTGGGATTCTTATGTGATCCTAAACCAACTTAACTGCATCAAAGAGAAATAAAGACAATGTGAACCAACATTTTAAGGTTTAAATGATAACATAGAGGATATTCAATGTTTTGTCATTGGGACTGAAATATATAAAAAAAAAATCTTATCTCACAAGTGAAATGAATTCTATATCCAACTACAAAATATTGAATTCTCTTAATTTATAACACTTTCTTTTGATTTCCTTTATCCTTTGTCTTTTCTTTCACATTTTGTTGTAGGCTTTGACCATGTGACGTCATAGTGGTTGAGATATCATATCAAAGCAATATTGTGAGATTAAAAACTTTGTAAAGTGGTTTTTAGGAATACGTTCGGAAGAACTTGGTTGTTTTCACCCGCATAGCGCAGTGGTTAGAGCATGTGCTGTTGCGAAGTAAGGAGTTGATCCTTACGTAGCGGGTTTGAATCCCACTGTGGGACATGGAGACCAGTCCTTCGGATGAAACCGTATAAACCGAGGCCCCGTGTCGCAGTAGGTGCTGGCACAAAAAAAAATCCCTCACTACTCAAAGGCCCTTAGTGCTGAGCATGGGTCAAAATTTTCAGCTTTCCACCGGCAAGTGATGGCAC